GGATGGTATGACAGCTGAGTTCTATAAAAAAGCTTGGAACATCTTGAAGGGCGACATCCTTAGGGTGTTCCAAGAGTTTTTTAAGAATGGAATCGTGAACCTTCGAATGAATGAGACTTATGTGTGTCCAATCCCGAAGAAAGTAGAAGCAAATAGAGTTAGTGACTACAGGCCTATAAGCTTAGTCTCTTCTCTTTATAAAATCATTGCTAAGGTGCTGGCGGATAAACTCAAAACAGTCCTTCCTCTCATCATCGCAGAAGAACAAGCTGCTTTCGTGGAAGGAAGGCAGATCTTGGATGCTATTTTAGTGGCTGCAGAGATGTTGGTGACCGGAAGTCCACAAGAAAGCTAGGGTTCTTGTTAAAGCTAGACTATGAGAAAGCTTACGACAAGGTGGTTTTGGATTATATTGATGCGGTGTTGGGAAAAAAGGGTTTCGGTCAACGGTGGAGAATGTGGATAAGGGGCTGCTTGTCCTCGACAAACTTCTCAATTATCGTCAATGGAAAACCAAGAGGCAAAATTAAGGCCACAAGAGGTTTACAGCGAGGAGACCCTATTTCTCCTTTCCTTTTCACTCTCGTGGGAGACTCTTTCAGTCGGCTTGTGCACTTTTGTTGTGAGAAGAGAATGATCAAAGGCTTTGAGGTGGGAGGAAAAAAGGTGATGATATCCCACTTGCAATATGCTGATGATACACTTTTGTTTTGTCCTGATGAGAAAGGTCTTTTGTTCAAATGGTGGATTGTAGTTAATTGGTTCCTTAGGGCTTCGGATCTCTCTTTAAACCTAAATAAGACCTCCCTGATTGGCTTAAACATAAATGACGATAGGCTTAATCAAAAAGCCCTAAGCTTGGGTTGTAGAGTGGAAGATTTTCCTTTCTCTTATCTGGGTCTCCCTCTTGGGGGAAACTTCAAAGCCACAGGTCTGTGGCAGCCTCTGTTGGAAAAATTGAAGCAAAAACTTGATAAATGGCACAAGCTAGTCCTCTCAAAAGGAGGAAGGTTGACGCTAGCCCAAGCAGTGTTGAATAGTATGCCCATATATTACCTTTCGCTTGTGAAAGCTCCTATTGGTATTGCTAAACAGGTAGACAAGCTTGTGAGACATTTTTTCTGGAAGCCAGACAAATTACACCCCCACAGAAATCTGGTTAATTGGGATACCACGTCGTTACCCTTGACAAAAAGAGGTCTTGGTATAGGGGCCTTCCATCTTCGAAATAATGCGCTTCTTTTGAAATGGTTGTGGAGGTTTACCCAAGAGGGAGATGCCCTTTGGAGAAGAGTAATTGAAAGTATTTATGGGTTAGAACCTCTCGAGTGGATGGCTAAAAAGCCCAAGGGGAAAGCGGCTTAACCCTTGGTTTGATATAGCAAAGAACAGCATCCTTTTCCTTAAATTTCTATCTTTCAAAGCTAAACGTGGTGACAGAATCCGTTTTTGGTTAGACAGATGGACGGGGAACACTACTCTTGCCCATGAATTTCCTAAAATTTTTGCTTTATCTTTGAAAAAGGAGGCCACAATTGCTGATTGTTGGAAAGAAGAACAGCTAGCTTGGGACCTAGGCATAAGAAGGGGTCTGCTTGATAGCGAAGTTAGGGGCTGGATTGATATTATGAGCATGCTGGATGTCATGGTCATGCTTGTCCAGGGCCTGTTGCCTGTGGCCGCATGCCCATAACAACCTCTTTCCACATACTTTTATGCCATGTATTTAGTTTTGCTTGTTATTTTGTTTTCCTTGTACTTTTGGTGGCGAGTGACTCCTCGCCACTTTGCATGTTCACGCCTGCCAAAGGCAAAATGCTTTATAATCTACCTTAGGGGGGTACACCTAGTCATCCTCCCTACATTGCGTTGTATTCTTGTCTTGCCACTAATCTATTCTCTTGCATTCAAGCTTACAACAACTTCCAAAATGCTTTCAAACGTTTTCCAAAACCTTTTTCTCTAACCCCGTTTTCCAAAACCGTTTTCTCGAGAACGGGGGTGGAGGTTGCGACATATAGCCTTTGTGCCACCGGCTATTCGTTTCCGCATTGGCTGACTTGCTAGAGGGTGAAAGCAAGTGCCGCACAATCGCTTCTTGAGTCCCGTTAGAGTGCGATTGTGACACTGGACACCATTCGAATTGGGGAAGGAGTTGACAAAATGGTTTGGTCTCCTGATTCCTCTAGTGTTTACACGGTTAAATCGGGGTTAAAAATTTTGTGTGAAGATTCCCCAATTATGAACTCCCCTTTAACTTCTCTTCTTTGGAAATTCTCTGTTCCAAAGAAGGTGAAAGTTTTCCTTTGGACCTTAGCCAACCATGCTGTAAACACAGTAGATAGACTCCAGCGAAGATGCCCAAATTGGGCTCTTTCTCCTTCCGTTTGTGTTCTTTGCAATCAGAATGAGGAAACCATGGATCATATTTTCCTTCATTGCCAGTTTGCCCTTCGTGGGTGGTTCTTTCTACTACAAATCTTTGGGTATTCCACTTGCTTGCTTCAGAATATTGATGGGTGGATGAATGAAGATCTTCGGGAGTGGCATTTTAAAGAGAAAGCAAAATTTCTATGGAATTGTGCTGCTAGAGCCTTTATTTGGAACCTCTGGATGGAAAGAAACAATAGAATTTTTGAAGATAAGTCCTCTACGTTAGAAATTTTTTGTAATACAGTACAGTTACACACTTCTTGGTGGTGCTATAGGCATAGAAAATTCTTTTGTAATTACAACCTCTCGTTGATTATGCAAGATTGGAGTGCTTTACTTCACTAGTTTTTTTGGGAGGGGGAGCCCTCTTCCCCCTGCCTTAGGCTGTCTTTTGTCTATGCTTTTTTCTATATATTAAGTTTCTTATCTAAATAAAAAAAAAATTACCCTTACTATTATTGTAGTCTACAAGATCTTAGTTGATAGTAGCCCAGAAGGAAAACTTCTTCCTTCCACACGGTACTTTGATGGTTAAGTTTACCTTCAAGGTATATATACAAATGAAGAGATCCTTCCCTTTATCTCTTTCCCAGTTAGCAGGGGTACCATGGTCGGCATATTCAACTCAGTAGAGTAGCATGCCCACTCAACCATCCAAACGATTTTCTTTAATCAAAGTCAAAACCCGTCCTCAATAGAGCATTTATGCTCGTTCCCTTGGCATGTATCATGCATAGTAAATCTAGGGGCCTTAAGATGTTTCCTTTAGGCTTATAGCTCCTTGCAAAATGTATCTTGAAACGTGCGAGGATATCTCCATTTTAAAAACACAACCAGCTTTGCCCTCCTCTGTTACCAAGATCCATCACAGAGACAAATGACCAAATTAAACCTCCATAACTAAGGCAACTCATTTTCTCCAAGTCCTGATAAGGATATACTCAGCAACAGAAAGCATATAATCCCATTTCCTTATAATATGCAGTCCGACTATCCAACAAAAAAAATGCAGACCCACAAAAAAAATGGCAAGAAAGAAAGCATTCATTCGCCATCAATATCTTGCATCCATAGTATTTTTGCCCTGGTGGATCTCTCGCCTAGAATCTCGGGTTGCTATCAATGATTTGCGGCATTTGCCAATACACAAAGCAACCTTGGCTGAATACAAGTAACATACTGCATAATCAAAACTCAAATGCAAGTAAGAACAACCAACCTGATTAACCATTTCCCGATCTTCAGGGGTGGCCTCAGCTCCTCGATCAAGGGGCGCAATTGCCTCAAGAAGCTCCTGTTTAAGAGCACTAACATCTTTGCGTTTGTTTAAAAAAGCAGGAAAAAACGAGATTCTGACCCTCCACTTGGCCGAAGGTGCAGACGTGAGGACTGAAGTTGGGGCGGTGGTAGTGGGGTTGGACGGGAGGCGAAGAAGTCTGGGAGGTTGGGATGTTAATGGAGGCGAGAGTTTGAGGGCCGGAGTTACTGAAGGTGAGGATAAGGGCATCGCCATTTTCTCGTTTTGTGTGCTNTACACTTTATGTTTTATATGTTGAAGAATAATCTAAATTAGTTTTAGAAATTTAGAAAGAAGTTGACTATAGACTTGGTAGATGGTTGAGGGTCTATGGTCGGCACGTTTTGTCCTATAATTAGTAGGTGTTCAGGGCGGGTCGTGTCAGATTCAATTTTCAAATCTCCTATCAAACATATGTTCAAGAATACTTAAAATAAAGAAGTTTTCTATTAAAATTTATTTTCTCGGATCACCAACTAAACAGAGAGTTCAAATGTGAGAAATATATTTTTGTTGTTGGACAAAGGAAATTAATGTCCTCTCTCCACTCCTGTATGATGGAATTAAATTCAAAAAGTTGGTTGATTTTTCAAAACCTAACAAAAATGAAATTGAACATCTTTATTTCGTTTTGGCAAAAAAAAGTTGATGGATTGCTACGAAGTTTCAAAAGTCTACATCAAAATTTATGAGACAGACGACTAATTCCTTCTTTTTCCATTCTCTGCCTTATTTAATATATGGTATTTATAATAGATGGCTAAGTGCACGTTTGGTTGGTAATTCAAATTTTGTTTCTTATTTTCAGATTCATTGAACGCAATTGATTTAGGGTTTGACAGATTTATTTTTTAAAATTGTTTTCAAATTAAGTACTTAAAGAGCAGGAATTCTTAAAATAATACCAAGTGTTGTTGGTTATCTACTAAAAAAAAGGAATTCTTAAAATAATATTAATTGTTTTCAGATTTTAAATGTTTAAATGCATAATTAAATTAAAAATGTTAAAAACTTTGATAAATACATGATTCTTATAATATAAACTCATGTCACTTTTTGTTAAAATTAAAACAGATAAAATATGAAATATTATAAATTATATTATATTATAAAATAATAATTATACAAAATTATAAAATATTTGTTAATAAATAAATTAATATTATTTTATGTTGAACTAAATATTTTTTTAAGAAAATAAAATATTTTGTTGGTAATTACCAAAAAAAACAATGCAGGAAGTCTTGAACTCCCACCTACCTTGAAAACTCCACAATGCTAAAACTTATTTCTAAATTACTTGTGAATTTTTCTTTTTTCAATCAAACTTAAACAACTCCCAAAAACTACTTTCAATCGTTCAAATTATTTTTAAGGATAGTTGCAAATATGACAAAAATATTTAGTAAAATAGTAACCACATTTAATTTTTTCAAATATAGCATTTTTTCCAACAAAAAACGGAGGTTCAATTTTAAAATTACAACTTTACCCTACAATATATCTGATATACATTATAAATTATATTTTGTCTTCTTTAACATTTGAAGGTGCTGGCCACAAATATATGCTTCTAATACATCACTGATATACTATTGATATACAATTAATTTACTTCTAACATAATTATGATATCTACTGAACTTCTAACATGTCTTACCAATGATATATGTATGATAACCATTGATTTACCACACGCTGATACAATATTTATATATCTGTGATGTATACTTGATATGTACTTAAGCGTGCCTGGACAAGAGTAATACTAAAAGTTATATCATATGTATTAAATTAATAGTTAGTAGAATTCTTTAAGACCTCATTTATGTTGGAATGTCTGAGGATTGGAGAACTCAAAGGCATTTTGTCTAGCTTGTCACTTCATCAATCATGTTAATCCCCATGTTCTTTTTTTATGGAAAAGTGTTTAACAAGCAGAATGAAGCTTAAATTGAACTTTTATGGGTGTTTTACTGTGCACAATGTTGGCTCTAAGGGTGGTCTTTGTCCTATGTGGCGTTTTAATGTGAATGTTTCTATTTGTCCTTTCTCCCTTTACCACATTGATGCATGAATTTTCTGGAATGGTTTTTCTTGGCACCTTACTGGCTTATATGGTCGTCTGATTCCTTCTAAACGATTCGAATTTACAATCTTCTCCGAAATTTGGAATTTTCTTACTCGAATTTATAATCTTCTGACTCGAGTTTATAATCTAGATAATTTAGCTTGGCTAGTTGGCGGGGATATCTTCTGCCACGTTAATGTCTTCGGAAAAGTAAGGAGTTGTTCCAGTTAGAGACAAACAAATTACGTCCTTCAGAGAAACCATTGATTATTGTAATCTGATTGATTAAATTTGTGGGAGACCCTTACACTTGGAACAATATACGGAAAGAGAATTTTCAAATTTGGAAACGTCTTGTGATGAATCTTGATTAAAGGTTAAAAAGTATAGGTTATCATGCTTATTTGAGGATTATTTAGGTTGGAAAATTTATGATCATGCATATAACTTAGCGAAAATGCGTATATTCCATGTTTAAAGATTTGAGCGGTTAGATCTAGGAGAATACAGGTTAATTGGTGTAAAGATGTTGTTTTGTAGGAAAAATCTGAGATTGGTGATAAAATGTGTCAGATGCATCACAGCCTGTATCCAAATGCGCCAGCCACATTCTGCTGAAAAATCCTGCTACATCCAAAATGCGCCAGATGCATTTCTTGACTAGATTCTCCCAAACACGCGTTTCAACTTCATTTCACCAAGCAATTGATCCAAGATTTAGTCTAACATCCTAAGATCTCTCCAACAAAGTTGGTTACCAACTTCTCATGAATTTCTCAACAAGTCGTATCCCTCAAGCTTATAAATACAAGTTTCAAGGGTCATATCATACTTCCATCTTTTTATTCTTCCTCTCTAAGTTTTTATTAACTTTTGTTTTCTCTTCCAGGATTCAATCTTTGTTTAGTTCGTTAATTAATTTTGTAATTGTTATTTGTTTATTTTAATGTAATTCGATTTGTTCTAATTTTGTACTTTATCTCCATTTTTAATGAAAATGCATTCTTTTGTTATTTTATCTTGTTATTTCATTTCCTATATTTACATGAGTACACTTTTTCAACCCTCGTACGAATGTTTTAGTTCATCTCATTTTAAATTACATCTATCAATGAGCATGACGTATTACACTCTTCTTGCTTATCTTGATTGATATAATTTATGCAGTTGATTTTCTTGTTGGCCACTTGTTAAATCACATTAGTTTGAATTTAATTCTAAAAAGGTTAGAATCACAAGTATTTCATCAAGGTAAAATGGGAAGTTATTTAGAAATAAGAACTAAAACAAAAACCTAGACGTATGGTCTCTTACCCGTTAAACGTAAGTTGGAGTTTGCTTTATTTAGGACTCTAATGTCTCGTAGACGTATGTAAATACTAGCATAAGCTTTTAAACAAACCAAAAGCGGTATGGAATAGGAGTTGAACCAGTTTGCATAAAATGAGTGGTAATGCGGCAGACATATTTGCTAGGTGTAATTCATCTTTTTAGAATTAAACAGTAGTAGGGGTTGGCTTTTTAAATTATGTTTTCCTTGTGTTTTTAAATCGTGTTTCCAACAATTTCACCTATCTTTATCTCAAATCTGATTGTTCATTCAAGCGGTTTGCAAATTGATTTTAAAAGAAAACTAGTCCCTGTGGAGACGAACTTGGAATACTTCCATATTATTACTTGTGACAGTGTGCACTTGCACTCTACCTTCGAGCTATTACACTGAGGCACAACATCTTGATCATTTTATGGGTAATGTAGCTTTTCAAACTCTTTTCCCTCATTGCAAAGCATCCCGATTGGTCTCACTCTGATCATCAAGCAATCCAACTGGACACTGATTTTCAAAGAAGGCCGAAGGGAAAAAAAGGAATAGTATAAAGTTGTTCCGTTTCTAGAAATTCTAGATTCTAACCCCTGAATGTGCGCAGGTAATTGAAAATGAAGGATAGTGGAGTTCAAAAGAAGATGTGAGTAAGTCTTTGGAGTATCACCTACAAACCTCAAGTAAAGCCCTCATAAATGAGGCTTATCAACGCAACAAAAGCCTTTCCAGCAAATAAAACATCTCAATGTAGCTTTAGTTGAGGAATACAATAAATCTTAACCCATTGACTTCACTATCATTCATCACTTTGAAGATTGTTTAAATGATATTTTCGAGGCTGAATAAATTTATTGGAAACAAAGATCTCGTGAGGATTGGCTCAAGTGAGGAGATAGAAATACTAAGTGGTTCCATAAGGAGCTACGGTCAGAAAATAGAAGAACACAATCTCTAGTATTTTATTGGACAGTGGGCAACGGACTAAAACGAAGATCATATTAAAAGATCTTTTCTTGATTACTTCAGTCAGCTTTGTATATCCTCAAATCCATATGAGCATGCCTTGGAGAGAGTTGTCAGAGTGATCCCGTGCATGGTTACAGAAGCAATGAATTGACTTTTGATTGCCCATTTTACTGAATCTGAAATTTTTTGTGCCGTAAAGGACATGTCCCCAACTAAATCTCCAGGCCGAAATGGCTTTCCAACTCTTTTCTACCAAAAATACTCGAGGATGGTGGAGCCAAAAATATTCACAAGTCGTATGAGGTTCTTAATAAGAGGAAAAACATCATTGACTAGAATGCAACAAACATAGCTCTCATCTCAAACACAGCAGGTCTAAGGTCTATTTCTGAATTTCACCGTATTAGTCTTTGCAATGTTTCATATATAATTGTTACAAAATGTCTAGCGAATAGACTAAAGCAAATTCTAAATGACAATATCTCTAAAACTCAATCGACATTTATTTCAGGGACAATGATTTCTGATGATATCGTCATGAGCCATGTAAGCATCATGCAATGTAGAATATTAAGAGTGGGAGAGAAGACATTGCAGCTATAAAACTAAATATGAGTAAAGCTTATGACCGTGTCGAATGGGTTTTGAAAAGTGTGACCCTGTTAGCTAGGTTACTTACTGTCTGATCCTATTAGCTAGGTTACTTACTAGGTATTTTTAATACTCACTATTATTTTTCTAAATTTTTTTAAGTAATGGCAAGACATATTAGACAAGTGACAGGCTGTTTGTTGAGTGCGCCATGGGGACCACGTCAACATAATTTTATTTTCACATTCCATATTGAATTACGTTGAAGTGTTTTATTTTAAA